AATAAACTATTTCTAAATATTTTTCTTTTATCTTATTTCAAATCTTATATAAGCAAGCTAGGCAGCTTACTATAATAGCTATATACACTTATAAAAAAGCCAGCTTCTTATAAAGTTTTAGAAGATCTTTATCTACCTCCTTCTTATTAGCCTTTAATTTCTTTTCTATATCTATAAGTCTAAATACTATATAATAAAAATCAGCAATAAGAAAGTAATACTAAAAGAAAATACTACCTATATAATAATACAACCTAAGAATTATTATAGGACTTTTTCTACTTAATATATTTACTATAGCAAGTAGTATCATCCAATATAATATAGCTCTTATTATAGTAGAAGTACTAACTATAAGATATATCTAAAGGCAATTTGGTAATAGTAATAGTATAGAAAAGGGTATTTACTTTAAGAGTTTTCTATACTAAGAATTTCTATATATAGTTAGATATAATTATTAATATAATATAGCAGTAGGAATATTTAAAAAGAAAAGATAATAAACTAATAAAATTATTAGAAAAAGCCTAATTATATAGCCTTAAAGATAAAACTATTAAAGAGGAGATATTATATTACAGCCTATATTATAGCCAGGCAGTTAGAGTTAGTAGTAATAATAAATTCTATTTAGTATAAACTAATTTTATAAGCCTACTTAAGATTAATATCCTATAGAACTAATAATAGCAGTTCTAGACTAACAGTAATTCTTTAGAGGATCTAGTAATCTATTTAGTATATAGTTATCTAAGAAGTATATATCTAGAATAAGTAGCTACTTAGCTATTAATATAACTTAGTTACCTTAATTACCTTAACTTATTATATATTACTATACTTAATTATTACTAAATATAATATTTACTCTATAAGTAACATTCTAATTACTCTACTAATATAAACTTACAATTTATCCACTAGCAACTAACATTTTACCTACTTTAGATTATATCTATAGTAAATTATAAAATACAACTATTATAGCTAGTCTTTTTCTTAATAGGTATTAGAGTTTATACTATATATTAAGCTTTAATATAATACTTTTTAAGTTTAAAGAAATAAGCTTAGCTTCTTAAAAACCTCTTTTAATATTACTTTTTATTATAGTAGCTTAGTAGGCAATATAAAAAGCTAGAAAGAAGTCAGTCTTTAAAATATAGATAATTAAATATCTAATTAACTACTTAATTTCTTAATTATATATATTTTTAAGTAGCTTAAAATACTCTATATTAAGAGGTTAAAATAAATAAAATAAATAAAATAGTATATAAAATATAATAATATAATTTACTTTATAATATTTCTTAAAGTTAACTAAATAATAACTTTTATATTTATTAAAAATAAAAAAATAATAGTAACTAGTTAATTAGGCTTTTATATATTAATTAAAATACTTAAGTTACTTAAAATTTATCTTATTATCTATCTAGCTATTTTAAGTTATTATAAGAGCCTAATTACCTAGAAGGTTACTTTTTTAATATTAATTAGTAAAATAATATTAGCTTATAATTATAATAAATAGCTAAATTACCCAGTCTTTTATATTAATTACTTAGATAATTATAACCTACTTTTAATTTCCAAGCTAGATTAATTTTAAATTTGTATATTTTTTTATATTTATAATAATTAATATATATAATAAGTAAGTAAAATAAGTAAGTAAGTAAAATAAAAATCTCTTAATTTATACCTTTTCTATTTAATTAATTAATTCTTAATTACTTAGTATATTACAATCTAATAAAGAAGCTAGAATTCTTCTTACTTTTTAAGTTCTTTAAAATAACTTAAAATTAAAGCTTTAATATACTATAAAAATCTATATAGTTAATTTAATAATACTTTAGTATTAATAAAAGAGTATTTAATCTTAATATGATACTATCTAGAAATTATATAAGCTATTTAATTTAGAAAAAAAATTTTTATTTACTTTATTTTTAATTTAAATTTATAAGAATTTCCCCTCTAGCTATATAATATTAAAGATATAGTTAATTAATTACTTACTAACTATAATATACTATTAATTAATATATATTAAACTTTAAACTTTATGAGGTAATATCTAGATTTTAAGATATATTTCTTTTAGAAATATAACTATTAAAAAGTTAAATATAAAAATCTAATTATTATCTAGAAGTAATTTATACTTATAGTAAATATAATTATAAAATATAATATTTAATTAAATAATATCTATAACTTTAATAAAACTAGCTTTTTTATAAATATAATTATAAGTAGAATAATTATTATAAGCTTAAAAAGATATAAAAAATTAAAATTAATATAGCCTAAAAATTAAAAATAAATTATAATTATTTAAGTAATTAATATAAAAAACTAGATAATCTAGCTATTTATTATTAATTTAAGCTAATATTACCTTACTAATTAATATTAAAAAAGTAACCTTCTAGATAATTAAATACTTATAATAACTTAAAATAGCTAAATTAATAATAAAATTAATCTTAAGTAGCTAAAGTATTTTAATTAATATATAGCTAATTAATTAATTAGTATCTATTATTTCTTAATTTTTAATAGCTATAAAAGTTATTAGTCTATTAAATTTAAATGATATTATAAAAAAAATAAGATTATTAGGCTTTATATATTATCTTATTTATTTTATTTACTTTAGCCTCTTAATATTAATTACTTTAAGTTATTTAAAAAGGCCTATAATTAAGAAATAAAATATCTAATTAAATACTCTATAACTTATATTTCTAAAATTAAATTCTTTCTAGCCTTCTATATTATATTTCAAGCTATTATAATAAAGAAAAATATTAAAATAGCCTTTAAAAAAACTAGGCTTATTCCTCTTAACTTAGAAAGTATAATCTTAAAGCTTAATATATAGCTATAAACTTTAATATCTGCTAAGAAGAAAGCTAAGCTCTTAACTTCTTAAGTTTTAAAGACTTTAAAGATTATACTTATAGCTAGATCTCAGTTAGAATATCTTAAGAGATAAATAAGAAGATATAAAAGCAGCTTGCTAGAGTTAATTCTTAAAACTCTATAGTCTCTTTCTAAGAAAATAAAAGCTATTATATATAAAATTACCTTATTAACTATTAAAAATAAAAACCTTTAAAAGGTAAATAAGATACTAAGCTAGCACTAAAAATAAAAAAAAAAACTATAAAAAAGAGGAGTAATAATAATAGAAAAAGAAAGATAAATAATTAATTAAATAGATATAGATATATAGATAGTAGCTAAATTGTTAAGGAGTAATAATTAAGAAAGATTAATATAACTAGATATTTAGTATTATAGTATTTATAGCAAGCCGGCTATAATATAAAAACCTATTAAGTAGTAATTAAAATATCTAAAGAAGAGTATAATAAGTAGTTTTAATTAATTAAATAATCTATAGTATTTTTTTTGCAATTTCTATAAAAAAATTAAGATTTTTATTTTACTTATTTATCTATTTTACTTACTTATTATATATATTATTCTACTTATAATTAGGCTTATTATAAAACTAGTTTTATTAAAATTATAAATATTAATAAAAGTAATATTATATTTTATAATTATATTCTCTATAAGCTTAAATTAATTATAAATAATACTTAGATTTTTAAATTTAGCTCTTTAGTAGTTATATTTATAAAAAATATATATCTTAAGCTCTAATTATTACTTAATAAAATTTAAAGCCTAATACTTACTAATAAATAATATATTACAATTAATAAGCAGTTAATTAGCTATCTTTTTAATATTATATAATTATAGAGGAAATTCTTATAAATTTAAATTAAGAATAAACTAAATAATAATCTATTCCTCTAAATTAAATAGTTTATATAATTTAGGGATCTAATTATAACAAGCAGTAATACTATTCTCTTAGTTAAAGAGAGTACTATACTTAACTTAATAGATCTTTGTAGCGTATTAGAGACTTAATTTTGGGTTATTTTAATAGGCTTAAAGTGTAAGAAGGATATTTACCTTATTATTTAATTGTAGTATCTTGAATAGTTGAGAATTGATTGATTAAGTAGGAAGATAAAAGGTTGAGGGATTTTTAACCGGCAAGCTTATTTAACCGGCATACTTATCATACACGTTATAACTAAATACTATATATAATTTATTAATAAATAGGCCTACTGCTTAAGGTTCTTCTCTAGTAGCTTCCCCTCCACTATTAACTCAATATATAGCAGTAGCATCTAACATATAGGCCAGATCTCGAATTTACTATTTGGGAAGTATCTTAACATAGCTAATAAAAATAATCATTTCCATCGGTCTGTATTATCGACTACAGATAGCCAGACACAATTGCAAAACTGCACTAGGGTATGCATCTCGCATACATCCCCCTTTGCTGTTGCAGATACGAGTGAGTATCCGCGGAGGTCACCGCTTTTGTTCAACGCGCTCGAACCTTGAGACGAAATGATAGCCCCATCGGGGACGTAAATGGCACCTCGCAATGGCGTTAGTATGTCGATCTCTTTCTCCAAGGGGCAGTCGTGAGTTGGTTTGCGGGGAACCACCCGGTGCTTGTTGAACTCTGGTCGAAGCAAGTCAGTGTGTACACTCGCAGCTAGAGGAGGTGGAAAGGCGTAAATATCTGTCGGGACTATTGTTAAAAACTTCTGAAATCCCCGACGGGTTGTTCGGGGCGAGGAGTCGAGCATTCTTGCCATCGGCTTTATGGAAAAGCACGACGGCAGTGACATCTGTGACTGGACTCAGTTTCCCAAGCCGATTGGGGCGCTAGAGCCCGACGTGGCCGTGGCGGACGCGGACTCTTCAGAGTTCTTTCAGATCATGGAAATGCGTCAGGTGCATAGGAACTGTGAGAAGCAGAGGACTGAGAGAGGCCAGTACGACTAGCCTGATCGGCTATGCTAGACCGGCTTTTCACCTGTCAGTATTCGCATTACTACCTACGCTTATAGCTAACTCCCCAGCAGCTTCGTGTCAGGGCGGACGAGCAGAGCAGCGAATCAAGATTGCCCTTCAAAGTACCCTTCGAGGTCGAAGTCGAAACCAACCTCGAACCATATAGTCAGCTCCGCACCGCCTTGGGCCTCTGCCTCTCGTGCTGCAGCCTCGACCGCCTCAGGAATTGGGCGGATGGCGGCGTGCATCTCGAGATAGGACGTGAGGCCAGTTAATCTGGCCCATGGGCTCTTCGACTTCATTTCGTACCGGACCTCGTAGAGATGAGTGTTGAGGAAAACCATGAGGCTGTTGGGCGGTAGGTGGAACCGGACCGGCTTGTTGAAGAAGCGTGGAGTCAACGTGCCCATCGTCACGCGCACCACGGGCGGTGCTGGTGGCGCTGGGCGATGTCTGGGCTCATGGAACTTCTCCCAAACCAACTGCACGAGCTTGCGCGTGTCAGGGTCTTGTAGACTCCGACTCTGGACGGTGACGGTCTGGGACATCCCGACCTGCTCGGTTGGGAAGCAGGCGGAGAGATGTTGGACCGCCGGGTCGACGATATCTTGTACCTTGCAATTTTCAGAGCAGTAGCTTGCATATTTGCATCCTATTTCCATATTAATATCGATGCTCCCGAGATCTTTGGGCCAAACTGACCATGGCAGACTATCCGCGGCGGCTTGGTGCAGCCCTTCCTGGAACAGACCTGCGACTCCGGTAGACCCGCGACGGTGGTGTCCTTTACACCTCCTATCAGTGGAGGACGTGTATTACTTTCATGTCTCGCTTGGTTGTCCTGGACAATACCCCCGGTGATGGTATCTACTCCGTGACGGGCGTGCCACTCTACCACATCCAGAAGCTCGTTCTCGGCGCCGCGATCCCCCAGTACGCGAACTATCTTGGACGCAAAATCTTGCGTCAGGGGACTGGTGGGGCCAGAGACTCGCATCGACATTTTCCATCCCTGGTAGTACACCTCTTGCGCTCTCTTCAGCCGACCGTATCGTTCATGGACAGTGCCTAAAGTGTTCATTCGCCAGGTCGCTTCCCGGCTATGCTCTCCCTCAGATCGGATAGCTTCATCCAATTCAGCTTGATAGGATGCTTCCACAGGCTCGAGGCCCCGATCCAAGCCAACATTTTCCAACTCGGCCATTCTTGTATTTCTGTCGCCTTCAATTGTTTCCAGACACTCCTGTCTGCTATTGGAGATATCTTCGACGGTGCACAAGACAGTGTCGGCGAGGCCCGCAGAGGGATCGTATGCGATGTTGATGACGCCGACGAAGGATGAAATGATCTCGCACACTGTTCTGTTCCCCGTACATGCTAGTTGCCATGGAGTACATCCCTTCGCGTCGGGTCGTGTTATTAGCGACTTTGTGAGGTCCAACGGAATTAGGGCTATGAGGCGGCGGAAAGCTCCAGTCGAGACAGAAATTTCCGGGCACGAGAGACAGTAATGAAGCACGGTGCGGCCGTCGTCGCTTGTTCCAGAGCAGAGCATCGTCATCGACTCTTCAGGGAGTGTGGACAGGTGCTCGAAGACCTCCTGAAGTGTACCAGGGTCTGCCGTAAGCATGGCTGCGTCCAAGGGACTCATGTTTCGCGTTCCCCTTATGAGTATATCCGCCCCATTGTCAAGTAGGGCCTTAACAACATCTCTGGACTCGTCTTGCAGGCAAGCAAGGAAGAGCGGCGTGCAGCCCGACCTATCCTTGGAATCAATGATGGACTTGGCCCCGAGACGGAGAAACTGTTCAAGATGCACACAGTCGCATAGTGAGGCACACAGATGAAGCACAGTCTCACCCCTGAAACTGCGGTCCCCTAGCGGTACACCGGACTGCAGCAAAACGCCCGTAAGCGCTGTCGCGTCAGGGGAGGGAGACACAAGCGAGGTCATAAGGGGCGTGAAGCCGTCGACGCAGCAAAGCGAGGGGTCGGCCCCAAACTGTAGCAGGATGTGCACAATGAGTGCTTGGCGATGGAGCAGCTCGTCGCTGCCTATCCGAAGTGGTAGCGGCTTATAGGGCCGGAGCAGAAAGTCTACCATCTTAACCTCTTTTCCATCGCCATCCAGCATTCTGATCCGAACTTCGCTCAGAGTGTGTAGAGGGGTCGTGTAACCCTCCCGTGAACACCGGGCGTTAGGATCTGCCCCGAATGCGAGGAGGAAAAGCAAGGCACTGGGGTGAAGCATCTTGACCGCGAGATGCACGGCCGTCCACCCGTTAAAGCGAACGTTGGGGTTGGCCCCCCAAAGGAGAAGCGAATGGAGATGTTCGAGGCAATTGAGCATGACCTCCTTGAACAAGGGAGGCGGGTTGGTGTTGTCTAGAGGCATCTCCTCTCTGGTGTAGCCCGGCGAGTCCATGGCGAGCTGCAGTCCGTCTAGGAGTTGGTGGGCAGTCTCTGTGTCATACATATCGACAAGTACGCCCGCCATTCCATAGCTGGATTCCGAAATTATGCGAGGTGCTAGGGCCAGAAGTGGTCTGGCATCAGCACCACAGTTCAACAGAGTTGTGACCGTGGTGAGGTCGTTGTCCATTGCGGCTACAAATACTGGGCACCATTGCCGTCCACTGGGTTGGTCAATGTAGTCTGGATCAGCACCATACTTGACGCAGATGGTTTTCAGGACCCTGTTGCAGCATCGGCCAGAGGCGACTGTAACCAACCGGTTTAGAAAGGAGGTAGGGACTGTATGGTTGCTCAAGATGTCGCCCAGAGCTTCGGCATCGTCGGCAAACGTACACTGGAGGGCTTCGGCATGTATTGGTACAGAAGCGGCCGCGGCATGGACTTGCTTCTCCGTCTCGGCGGCAAGAGGGTCAAAGGTGCGGCGGCGCATCGGTATCCGCACAGTATTGTGCTCCATATCGCGGATGAGCCCATGCTGGACAGTGTACGGATTGGCCGAAACGAGTACTTGACGAATCCTCTCGTTCACGGCCTCGGGATCCAGCCCTTCTGGAGCCAGCCTGCGATTGTAGTTTGAGGTTTTGGCCTCGCCCATTATGATATCAATTATCCAGCTGGCTCTCTTGTCTCTGGTGAGATCGGCCTTGACACGCTCGGGTAACGTTTCGGCCGCCCGCTCCATGCGGTAGACCATTTTCTTGGCCTCGAGGGAACCTAGTTTGGCTGCCTTGTAGAACCATTCGAATGCTGGCCGGAAGTTCTTCAGGGTTCCGAAGCCATGGAGCAGGAACACGCCGAGCCTGTTCGCCGCTACGGCTCGGTCTTGGCTATTTCCGGTATCTGCAACTCCAATGATCGTCTTGTAAAGAGCATCCTGAAGGTCTCGGGGGAGAGCCCGATCTAGGGTGCGACTACTCCCGAAATCGCCCACTCCGCGACCAAGCCCATTGAACCGAGTATGCATTACGCTCGAGGCCACCCTTACTGCATCCAAAGAATACTCTTGGGGAACTGGAGCAGCGGCTCTTTCGCTAGTAAGCGCACTAAGCTTGTGTCAACACATTGAACTATGCCCGAGGACATTAGTTGGTCGCGGCATACCTCAACACTGTTCTGATCTCATCAACCAGTGGCCGGGCCGCGGGTTGGAGCGAGACCATACGACCAACAATTCCAATGAGGTTTTCTGGTAAAGGAGCACTGGCGCCCTGGAGTGACCCTGATATGAGTGCCGTAGCCTGATCGTCCAACTTCAACCGTGTTGGATCTTCCGTTGCCGCGCAACCAAAGGGCACATCCCCTGTGAGTATGTAACAAATCAGGAGGCCGAAGCTATATATATCTCGCGCATTTTTGAGAGATTCTGTCTTCAGGGCTGAAGGGGCGCCTGACAGGCATTCGGGGGCATTCCAATACGGCGTCCCCCCGGCTCCCCACTTATAGTCTGCCGCCGGCCGACAGAAGCCAAAGTCGGAGAGTCGAGCGCTGAATCCGGTGGCAGACGATGGAGACGAAAATATGAGAATGTTTCCAGGCTTGATGTCCCCGTGGACGATGGTCATTGCGTGGAGCGCAGAAAGGCCTTCCAGGACATCCCGGATCAGCTCTAACCGTACACTGGTCGGTCTTGGTGTCGTCATGAAGTTGGCCAGTGTTGGGTGTTCCTCGCAAGCAAGTTCCATAACGAGTATAGGACTGATTGTGCTACCACTGAGGTGCCACGAAACGCCGAGAAGTTTTGCGATATTCTCGTGCCACTTGAGAGGCTCGGCCGTCAAGACCCGCAGCTCAAGCATGGACGCTTCCAGCAGTCTGCGATGCGCATCAGACTGGGCTTTGGTGTCGAAGTACCTGCTCGTCAGGGGCGCTTGGAAATATCTAGCGGGAAATGAGTGCTTATGGCCAACGAACCACCCCCGGACTGGACTTACTTCAAAGCCACCTTTTGACACCTATCCCTCCAGACAGCTTTGTATACCAGCATAGTCGCGCCCGACCCAATGAATGATCCCTTGTCGAAATCTGGCTCGGAAAATACCTTGACTCCCGCATCGTGACACTCCTCAAAGAAACGCTCCACGGAGATTCCCTGCTCAGCGACAGACGAGGCTGCGGCCGTCTGCCCGTCTGCGCAGAGCGCCTCCGTGACGCTGGGGTCTATAGGGAAACCGACAAATGAGTAACTTGACGACTCCTCCATCCCCCGAGACCCCAAGGACAGGCGCTCAAACTCGACGTTAAGCTCCATGGCGATGGTGAACGAGATTCAACATCGGCGCAAAGCCGTAAGTTATGCATGGGGTGGATTTGGCATGATTTGGGTCAGTTGCAAGCCTGCACTTCCGGGTCGTCTCGTATTGGTCGTGTTGCTCCACCGTGGCATTATTATTATTGCCGCTGCTGCCTGCAGGCAGGCGCAGCGCAAGGAGCTGCGCCACACTCTCACATCTGACCACCGTTACGACACTGGTTCCCATCATTGCCTGCCTCTCTCTCGTACGCGCTGGAGCATCGTTGGCTTGAGTGCGGGCCAAGGTACAAACTCCAGTCGCTGGCCTGTTCCTCACCTGTCTGCGCGTCGCGAACATGGACATCTTCAGTACGGCTGCTATCGCATGCGAAGTCATCTACAAGACCCTCGAGTCTGCGGTCGCATTCCCCGCCGAGTCGCGCTCACTCGCTGCTCGGTTCAAGTACGACGCCCGAATATTGCGCCACTTTTGCGACTACTATGATTCCAGCTCAAATGGCCAGGCCGACCTCAGCGCCGAGGACAAGGCCCTCCTGGAGGAGAGCACGTCGTACCTCGCGACACTCCTCAGCTGCGTGGAAATATGCAAAACCAAGCTGACGGCCCAGAGCCGGTGGTCCAAGGAGATGAGCCGGCTCACGTGGATCCTCCGCCGCAGCGAGATCAAGGAGACTGAGGCCGAACTGTATGAGTGGACCAGACGGCTCGATCTAAGGCTAGTAGCCCTCCCTGAACGCGCGCGCACTGTCATGAGACTAGGCGCCGGAGACGACGACGAGACCAAGAGCTTCACGCCAAGGTTTGCGGCCAGGGTGAGGCTGGAGCGCTTCGCCACTGCTGCCGCCGCCGCAAAGAGGGCTGTCTGGGAGCGGCTTGTAGCAGAAGAGGATGCGTTGGAACGGCCCCCGGAGTCGGGAGGCTCGCAGCGCTTCTGCCTTGGTACTTTTGAGGGTAATACTGTGCTCGTGGAAACCCGTCATGCACCGCTACACGTCGCGTCCGACGAGCTAGCGTTGGATGCGGCCTGGGCTGGTGCTGGAGAGTTCGCTGCTGCGCTCAACTATCTCGACTCGACCATTTCCGGCCTCTTGAAGTGCAGTGGCTTTTTCTATTCTCCGACACCGACGCCGTCCTTTGGCCACATGTATATCCTGCCGGGCGAGAAACAGGGGAATCGCTCTGTGATGAGCTTCAAGGATCTTCTCTATGAAAGAGACGCGAGGGGCAAACGCAAGAGACTCTTGTTCTCCCTGAACCAGCGGCTAGAGTTTGCAAAGAGGCTGGCTACCGCCGTCTTGTTTGTCCATGCGATCGGCTGGGTCCACAAGTCCATCGTGTCGCAGAACATCCTCATCCTGGGGCGTGATGGACGTGATTCACGAATGCCAGGTGAAGAAAGGAAGTCACAGTCGACCAAGTGGTCTCTGAGCTCGCCGTATCTGGTCGGATTCGAGATCGCCCGGAGCAACGAGGCCGAGACGATACCGGGGGCACCGGTGCGTCTGCCCCTGGCAATATCCGTCTACAAGCATCCGGCGTTGCAAGACGACACCCACGTCCGGTTTAACATGGCGCATGATGTCTACAGCCTGGGTGTTGTTCTCCTCGAGCTGGGAATCTGGAGCCCGCTGGAGGAGCGGCCGGAGCTGCAGGGCATCAGCGAGCCGCGGGATATCGCCAAAGCCTTATTCCGCGTTGCCAACGAGGTGGAGATTCTTATGGGCAAAAGATACCGAGAGATTGTGCAGACGTGCCTTTCACAGGAGGCTGAAGCCAGGACGGGTAGTATTAAGCCCATCAGCGAGGTGCTGGAGAAGCTGGAAGATCTGGCCCAGGGAGTGTGAATCCAAGTTCCTTAGCTTAGAGAGGCCGCCACAGCACCGTATGTACCACGTTGAGGTTAGGAAGCTCAGCAATCTGTGGAGAGAGTGGACGGTGGGGTTACGAGGCCAGCTAATTATTGCTACACTTGATAGCCGCTGGGGCAGCCGGTGGCGGGCTGGTCGGCAGAGCGAGCTTCAGTTCTACTCCCTGCGGCTCGAGATTATCAAGGAGATCCGCCGTACGGCGCAGGCTCAGCGTAAAAGTGAGGAGGCCGCGATGCATGCCATGAGCTTCCGGCAGCAGCAGATGGGCTGCTCGATCGACCAACTCTGTAAACCCCTCCGCGCTAACAGGAGAGCCTGGCTGGCTGCGGAGAAGAGGAAGAAGTAATAATAGTAATAGGGTTTGTTAACTTGCCAATCAAAACCGGTTCCAAGATATCTCGTACGGATCTCGAGCCCTTTGGATCGCGAAGGAATTGAGGAATTGGGCCTGCCTGGGCCGGCCGTGGAGAGGGGGTAATATCTGGGCAGGTAACACGGAAAGGCTGCATCTTCGGTTATTGATGGCTGTGCAAGGCTGTGGTGCTGCGGACGACGCGGGTTACGAGTCTTACGACCAATGAGAAAAATACCGTGCTCGGACGATACCTTTTGAGTCTAGGCTAGGCGCCCCGTGGCCATCCGAGTACTTCAGGTCGTCATGGAAAATGTACTGCGGACTAGCAGCGAGCCCGCGAGTTGATCTTCTCCGAGTCCGCCTCTACAGTGGCACTTCGGCACGGCCCGCCAACGGTTGAAAACCTAAAACCGCAAAGTTTCTAGAAAATCGACTATAGAACTGCAGCTATAAATGCCCCCTATAACCTGCATTTTTTATAGCAAGTTATAGTAATTATAGCCTTATATTTTATAATAAGTTATAATTATTATATTTTACTTATTATAATTTATTATTATATAATAAGTTTTAACAATTATAACTTTTATATTAGATATTAATGTAAATTACTTGTTATTTATCTTATTCTGTATATTCTCCTTGCTACTTAAAGTTTTAGAGCAAGCTCTATATACCTTTTCTTTACTATTTGGAATTAACTGAAAGCTGCTTGCTAAGCTAGTAACAATAGGTAGTAACTGTTATTTTTAATAATAGTATTTATCAGCCTTTTAAGCTACTTCTATAAGCTTTCTTTACTACTATTTAACAGTATATAATAAGTATACAATATAGCTAAATATGTAATATACTTATACTGTATAGCTAAAAAGATAAACTTTAAATTTTTTAAAATAGACTATATAGCTTTAGGAATTTTGAGAAATTAATTATAAATATTTAACTAAAAGAGTTATAAGGTTGTAATTTTACTAGACTTTTAATTAATTTATTTAGCTTTTTAAAATTTTATATAAGAAAAAAACAGTATAAATAGAATTCTTTTAAATAAGTTTATAAAGATTTTTTTTAAAAATCTAAAAAAGTCTATACTTAATTTTATATATATTAGAGGTTATAAGATAGTAAAAGAATAGAATAAATTCTAGATAAAAGAGTATTCTTATAAAGGATATAAAGATAAGAGATAATATAAAGATAAAAAGTAATAGTATAAGATAG